TGGTGCTAATCAGAGTCAACTTCCACAATATGAAGTTAAAGGGAGTTGCCAAGTATGATCATTTGTAGTGCTCACCTGGATCTATTGGAGTGGAAGTAGAAAGGAGCATGTACAGATGTAGGGACGAGCAGGGAACAGTTGCTGGCTTTAGGAGTAGGGAGTCATGTGGACCCATGGCTTATTGACATTGCCCCATTTGGGGGCTAAGGATGAATGAAGGGACCAAAAGGTCTGGGATGCAAGGAGAAGTATGGACTTCTGAGTTTGAAGCTGATATCCATTTGGACCTAGCCATAGATAGCTGGGGATGAGTTGACCAGAACCCAACCAAATGAAGAGAAGATGATCAATGCTGTGAGCTAGTTTTGATAGCTGTAACCTGATATCTTGGTCTGGTCTGGACTGGACTTTGCTTGTGGATTCAGATGCTTAAAGTTTCCAAATTGAACAGAAGATTCTTCAGGAAAAGGGAAATGCTTATTCCCTCAGAGTACTGGTTTTCTAAGAATGGGAAAATCATAAATTGGCTGTCTAAAAAATTGGAAGCAGGAGTGGCATCCACTTCCTAACAACATGCTTCTGGAAACTAAGAACTCTGAGAAACAACAAGAGTGCTCCTAACTTTCAGCAATGAAGGTTATGTTATCTGCACAATGCAGATTACTGATGAGTCTCCCTCTGATCCTGATGCCACATACCTCTTCATAGAGTCCAGCTTCTCAAATAATTTGCTCAGCATACAGATTAAATAGGTATGGTCTCCAGTTTGGAGCCTCCTGTGTGAAGCAGTTGGATTTTGGAAGATAAGTTATTATTTTTTGTTTCTTTTTAAAGTAAGTTGTTTTAATTTAATTGACAGTTGAGTGTAAACTTATGATTTTTAATTTAGTTAACATTCAGGTAAAAGCTGATTGGTTGCTTTGATTTAGTTAATAGTCAGGTGTGGGCTGGTAGAATCTTGTTAAATCCAATCAGGACTCAGTGGGCAGGCCTATGTATTTAAAAGTTGGTTGGGTCCTGCCAAAAAGGCTCTGGTTTGGAGCTCCTGGTGTGAAGACTAGTTTGCTATTAGAGTAAACTGACAATTTATTGTGTTTGGGGAGAACATTGTTCTAAGTGGTACAGCTGTTGTGAAACTGAAAGCTATGCCACTTGTGTGTCAAATGACATAATGGTTAGTTAATCATGGTGGACAGGGTTTAGTAGAGCTTCCAGATTAAAATAGGATTGGCCATCCAACTCTTAAATAAAAGGCATTTGAAAATGTTGTGAATACTAGAGGAACAAGGATAGTTCTATTGTAGTGGTAGAGCCCAGATTGGAAAGTCAGTTGAAATGAGGAAAAATAATAACAAGCATAATTTAATAACTGGAACATGGTATGTACGTAGCTGAAATGTTGGAAAACTGGAAATTGTTAAAAATGAAATGAAACACATGAAAGTTGACATAATAGGCATTAATGAATCAGATCATCATATGGTATACTATGCAAGAAATGAGAAACAGAAGAAGAATGGTGTTGCATTCATAGTGAAAAGGTTAATTTCAATTTCTATCCTGAATACAATGTTGAGAGTGACTATTATTATTATTATTATTATTATTCAAATATACTCCTACATCTGGAGCCAAAGAGGAAGACATTGAGAATTTTTACCAAATCTTGTAGTCCAAAATTGGATGAACATGCAATTGAGATGAATTAATAATAATTGGTGACTGGAATGCAAAAGCTGTAAACAACAGAGAAGGAAAAGTAGTTGGAAAATATGGGCTTGGTAATAGAAATGAGCCTGGAAATAGAATTATCAAATTTTGTATTTACACTGATTTATTCATTGCAAATACCTTTATTAAAAGACAATAACTCACTGGAAGCTCAGCTATAAAAGTCAGAATTGAGATGACAGCAAGAGAGAATCCTTTTTCAGATTTATTTTCTATAAATTTTCTTTCTCATTCACATTGATTCTTCCAAGTCATCACGAGGATCTCAGAAACAAACTGCTATTGTTTTTATTGAGATAGTTTTAAGCTGATAAACCAATCTGGGAGAAATAGCCATGAAATTAAGATTTTTTTTAATCTAAAAACATAAATTCACTCTCTATTCTTAAGATTGCTATGAGTAAAATATATAATCTAAAAAAAAAAGACACAAACAACGACTTTACACATTTGTGGAAGAAATCGCTGGATAAGCTCAATTTGGGCTGTAAAACTAAGCCAGGGGCAGACTGTGAGTCAAACCATCAATCACTGATATGCAAGTTCAATCTGAGGCTGAAGAAAATAAAAATAAATCCACAGGAACCAAGATATGATGCTGAATCAACTCCATCTGAATTTCAAGATCATTTAGGGAATAGGTTTGAGGCATTGAACAGCAATGATCAAAGACTTGATAAGTTGTGGGATGATATCAAGGATTTCATCTGTGAAGAAAGCAAAAGGTCATTACAAAAACAAAGGAGAAAGGAAATTTAAAAAAGGATGTCAGAAGATAACTAAAAAAAATAAATTGATCTGGAGCACAGAGAAGGAGAAACCTACTGAAGTAAAAGAGCTGAACAGATTGCGAAAGATTGCTCAAGAGGACAAAGTAAAGTATTATAATGGAATATGTAGAGAGCTGGAATTGGAGAATTAAAAGGGAGAAACTTACTCTGCATTTCTCAACCTGAGAAAATGGAAATACTTATTTAAACCTTGAGTCACAATATTGAAAGATGATATGGGCAATATACTGACTGACCCAGAAAGTGTCAAAAAAAGATGAAGGGAGTACACAGAATTATGATACAAAAAAATAACTGACTGACACTGAAAAATTTCAGGAAGTATCATAAGAACAGGAGCCAATGGTAGTGAAGGAGCAAGTGGAAGCTGTATTGAAGTCACTGGCAAAAAATAAGGCCCAGGAATCGATGGGATACCAATTGACTTGTTTCAATTAACAGATGCAGCCCTTAATGTGATCATCAATCTATGCCAGGAAATTTGGAGGACAGCTCTGTAGCCAACAGATTGGGAGAGTCTAGAGAGTATTAAACAGCAAATCAACTCAGACTCCTAAAGACAAACACTGTATAAGACCATTACTTTAAAAATAAAAGGATAGCCTAAATTTTAAAAAAATTAAATAAGTATTAAATCATTCATTGACTAAATAATAATAAGTATTGGATGACTATAACTGTTTGTTACAATGTAATAGCAAATATGAGTAACAACTGATTCATTGCGGTGGAATTGGACAACATTCATTACTGACCCTCCACTGGGTTTCCAAGAATGTCATGCAGACAGGAGGAGATTGTGCATCTTCTTCCTGAGAAGCCAGGGGTAGATTTGAACCAGCAGAGAGGTGTGGCCTCTGGGTTAGCCGCACCACTCCTATGGACTACACTCTCAGAGCCCGAATGTTAACTATTGCCCTGGTGTTTTCAATTGTCTCGTATGTATAAAAAAGCTGGACAATCAAATAAGGAAGAATGAAGAAGAACCGATACCTTTGAATTCTGGTGCTGGCAAAGAACTCTGAATGGCCCATGGACTTCCAAAAAACAAACAAATCTGACTTGAAAGGAGCACAGCCAGCATGCTGTTTAGAAGTAAGGAGAAGGAAGCCAGGCCAGTGCCTGGGGGAGGACACGGTGACTGGTAAACCAGAAAGTCCCTGAAGAAGTGGGCTGACACAGTGACTGCACTGTGGGCTCGGGCACTGTGATGACTGTGGGGACACATCAGGACCAGGCTGTGTTCTGTTCGATTGTTCACGAGGTCACTGAGCTGGTTTGATGCCACTCACCACCACCAACAACAACAATAACAAATCTAAGTACTGATATTCATTGAACGCCTTCTCCCATTTCTGTAAGCCTCCTTTTATGTGCCCTTAATAAAAAAACTAACGTTATTGATTTTTATCGCAAAAAAAAATAAATAAATGAAAGGATAGCTGAGAAAGATGAATCCAAGTGCTCAAAAGGGGGAGGGGAAAAGAGAAGGGGTGAAAAAAGGGAAAAGGGAGGAAATCACTAGGATAAAAGAGGTCAGTAGGCAGATGGGGGTGAAAGAATAGGAAAGATTAAATGAGGATTTGAAAACATGGGGTGATCATAGACATAGAACAGTAGTAATTATATAAAATATAATGCATATTAATATTAGTATAAAACACAATATACATGTATCAAACACAATGCATATGAATTACTGTGTGTAAACAAAAAATATTAGAAGAAAAACAGATGATTCAACAGAATGTGGAAATTATGGAACAAAAGAGTTAATATCAAATGCAAGTAAAATCTTTCTAAAGATTATTAAAAAATGGCTGTAACAGTACCTAACAGAAAATTGCCAGAAATTAAAGCTGAATTCGGAAGAGATTGCGGAACATATATATATATATATTGCTAACGTAAGATGGATCTTGGCTGAAAGCAGAAAATACGAGAAAGAGGTTTATATGTGTTTTATTGAGATGCAAAGACATTTGACTGCTAGATTATGACAGTGAGCACACTGTCTGTCCTCCTTACTCTGTTTCCATTGAATCCTAGGTGCAGCAGCAGATGTTTTCCTGGGCAATTCTGATCAATCCCAGCTTGACACACTCTATAGCTGAGACAGGACTCAGAGACCAAAGTCTCTATGTTGGAAAATGGTCTCACCCAAAACCAGAGGGAGCCAAGTTCCCTACACCACATTCTGTTCTCAGAGTTTGTCTCTAGGGAGGAAAATCAGCGTTAAGAGAGACCTAGATACTACTGAGATAATTCTAGCTCAGGGTACCCCTGTGGGCAAGAGCCAGACTGTCCCCCAGTGCTTTAGTGGCTGAATTTTCAGAAGCACATCACCTAAGCTTTGTCCTGAGGCACCCCTGTGTGGCTTCAAACCTCAGTTCCTCTGTGAACTGTTAGGCATAACTCTTAGGACTACCACATGAGGCCAGAGCACCACAATATTACAGAGTTCTATTCACCATTCACCTGTGTGTCGGCATTGAGAACCTTGATCCTCTGCGTGGAGATGAAGAGATCCACTTCAGTCAGCGTCTGGGCATCCCCCTCAGAATTCTGAGAAAAGACAGGTGATACGGTGGCAAATAAAAAACATTAACTTGAGGAGATCGAACAGCTCTTCTCTTTTGTGAGCCCCACATGAAGGGAAAAGATGCCCCCCAAGGACTGCACAATCCCCATCCACAGCACCAGTGCATGCAGCCTTCTGGGGCCCAAGTGGGAGGGGTCTAAGTGACTTTAAAGGGCAGAGGGGATAAGGAGCAGGGCCACACCCGAACCCCAAGAGAATCCCTGAGCATCAGCGCCAGCATCTACTCGAAGTGGGATCCCTGTATGCTAACTCCTTCCTCAGTGAAGTCTGGGGTCTTAGGCTTGGGATTTAGATCCCAAGTGTTCCCACAAATAGGTAAGAAATTGTGAGAGAAGCTGGATTAAAAGATCAGTATTTCCAAAAAAAAAAAGATCAGTATTTCCATGTTATGGATGCAATCACGGTCACTTGGGTTCTCAACCGCCTTGGCCCATTTTCCAAAAACCCTCTAGAGAACAAGACCTAGGGCAGGACTGACTGGCCCCTACATAGAGTGGCACAGAGAACCTGGATACCAGTCAGGCACCCCTGTTCTGTCACTTGCAGCACTGTGTGCTCTTTAAGCAGTACTTGTTGGTACTTGACCCACTGTGACCAGCTCTGTGCGCACTTCAGCATCAGCTGCAGGCCCAGAGTTGTGCTGGATGGGGGTCTGACCTCCACCCGCTGAAACCTGTTCAGCATTAGAGCAACATGCATGCCTTAAAGGACCCGGGCAATGGCTGTGCTGAGGTGCGTAGCAGGGAATCAACCCTGGGTCTCCTGTATAGAAAGCAAGAATCCTCCCTGCTTACCCATTGCTGTCCTCACTTGGCCTCAATTGATGTTTCAGTGGGCTGTTTGGGAAGCCTTGGATATCACTGGTCTGCCCCAATCAGGATAGCCTCCATGTCCACGTTTCATCTATGGGAATCCTGATTCCTACTACATGTTGTTGTTGTTGTTGTTGGTATGTGCCATTGAGTCAAGTATAGCTCATAGCAACCCTAAGTAAGAACAACAAATCTGAACCCTGCCCTACCCTGTGACAACCTCACAATCCCTGACACACGTGAGCCCACTGTTGCAATCACTGTGTCAATGTATCTCGTTGAGGGTCTTCTTCTCTTTCACTGTCCCTATACCTTTCCAAGCATGATATACATTTCCAAGGAGTAGCCTCTCCTTGCAACAAGTCCAAAGTATGTGAGATGAAGCTTTGTCATCTTTGTCTCTAAGTAGGGTTCTGGCTGCACTTTCTCCAGGACACATCTGTATTTTGTTTTGACAGTCCATGGGACATACATAGCGGCAATGAAATGTTACAAGCCCTTTGACTTGTGCATCAAGGTAAACCATTCCCTGTAAATGACCCAGGAGCCCATGGTGGTGTATCCTGTTCAAAACAGAAGAAGCTGTCATTTAATGTCTCACTGGAATATATAAAATAAAAAATCTCCTTGCTGACAATTCCCTATGAACTCCGAGATTCTGTTTGGCTCTGTATTTGAATAAGAAGTTTGTATTTCGACTCAGCTTTCAAGGAGAAGGGTTTCTGGGATTTATTTTATTTTTTATTTTATTTTATTTTATTTTACCCATGACTTCTCTTAATTCATTAGAGAGCTAACAACCTACAGCACCAGCTGAGCAGAACTGTGGAGGAAATACCTGCTGTTTCAAAAAAATTTAATTGTATTTTCTATAAGCGTGCATTTAAAGGTTTTATTTTTTAGCTGTAGCTTAAATCCCTGTTCTTAAAGTAAGTTAGCAATACACATGAGGTTGCCTTGAGCTGGAATCAACTTGACAGCAACTGGTTTTCAAAGTAGACTGAACTATACAGGACTTATAAGGTCTTCAGATGAGCCCTGATTGGACTGACCATTTTAGAGGAAATGTGAACCCTACCATGCACTTGACTTGAGGAGAGGGACAGACTAGAAGCTACTAAGGCTCAGGCTGGAGGATCTAGGAGGGAGTGGGAATCTAATCAATGACAGTGATGAGGACAGGAATTACACACACAGCAGAGAATCATGGTGGTCTCTGCACACCTGGGGATAGGTGACACCCTGGAGTCCTATGTCACCAAGACCCCATGAGCTGAGAACAGAGGACCACACTTGTCTCTCGGTCACACACTTACCCCTCTAGGCAGAAGTCCAGCGGTAAAGCAGACCTGGGGGGTTGACTCCATGAGAAGTAAGCACTACCCTGAAGCTCATATGAGCAGTGAGCTGCCTGGCCTCCACCCTTAAGAGTGTGGCACGGTGAGACTGGCCTGTGACAGGCCTGCCACTCTTATTGCTCAGGTATGGGGCATGGGAAAGGTAGGCAGGCCCTTATTCTGGGTGGAGGCCCACTCCACACATGGTCTGCACAGCCAGGCTCATTCTTTTTTGCCCAGAAGCAGCAAGCAGAGTTGTACTTGGTCATGGGAGACACAAAATATCCCCCCTCCTGTGGCCAAAGGAGAATGAAAGGGCATGCTCCAGATGCCTCAGCATGAAGAGGCATCTGTGAAAAGGACCACCAGGGCTCACTGGCCACATTCCCAGTAATCATCTGATGTAAAGATCACATCTCTTGCTGTTTAAACAGCAGTGATGGGCTGATAAGCCAATGTCAGCTCCCCACCCACCTGCTCTAGGCCTTCTGACCCTAAAGGCTCTGACATTATTTTAACATCGAGGACAGTGGCAGTACCTACTAAATGGACAGGTTAATAAACTAAAGGCTACAACCCTAGCTCCTTGTCATTAGACCCAATGAATACTTAAATATAAGAACAAACAATCTAATATAAGAGACCAGGACACCTGTGATATATCTATATCACACCATCACATCAAATGCAACCAGTACACTTGAGAGTGTATAACATTATACCATTCATGCTATAGTGGAGTCTGAAAAAGTGAGCAACTGTCATGTTCTTTAGGGTGTTACAGTGAGTTTATTGTTCAAATGGGATTTCCTAGACATTGATTTTGATTTTGCCACATGAATGTGCAGGATCATACAAATAGGATGTGTTGGTCTATCCACAGGGAATTGGCTAGTCTCACCATTAAATTGAGTAGATTCAGCAGCAGAAATTTGAAACTCTCAACGGGTCCTTGGAGAGGGACATCATGCTTGGGAGGGTGGAGGGACAGCGCAGGAGGGGAAGACCCTCTATGAGATGGATTGATTCGGTGACTGGGGTAATTGGGATGGGTGTGTCAGAGGCGGTGCGGTTGGCACAGGATAGAGCAGGGTTTAGAGCTGTTGTGCATAGGGTCGCTCTGAGTCGGAAACGACTCGATGGCACATAACAACAACAACAACACCAACATGGAAGAGGAAGCAGTGTGCATCCTTTGAGGCCAGAGATTCCTGTGGCTCTCAGACTGGCCCTATAGGAGCAGCAGCATCTGCCACGGAAGGGCCTGTGAACACACTCGAGAAGCTGTCCTTACCAAGAGACTGTATCCTATTGCCAATTTGAATTGTAACTTGCCTATTAAACACCATCATGAGTATGTTTCTTTGAAGTCTGAGTAGGTAGTAGCCAGCTATTGCAATGGATTTGGGACCCAGTAGGGCAGTAAGATTGGTATGAAAGAGTGGAAATAGCTGTGGTAGTGTGGAGGACATGTCTGACCTCATGGGAATTGGTTTGTGTTGTGGATGTTGTTGATGGAGCAGTTTTCCATTGTGGAGTAAGCGGAGATCACACACAGCTATCCTTATGTTGTCCTCACTTGTATCACATTTGGTAAGTGATGGGTCCATTTAAAAATTTTATTTTATTCAAAAGTGTAACATTCAACCACCAAAGGAAGGGAAAAAAACGTATTTGCAGCATTATTTGTGTTTCTCATGGAAAACCCACTGCACAGGGCAATACACAGCAAGAGGAGCATGCACCATGCCCAGGGCAACAGTTTACACACCGCTTTCTTCTTGATTTTAGCAGCTTTCTGCATCCTCTGCACAGCAGGTGAGAGAAAGAAAAACAGACACACAGAGAAGGAGAGGAGGCAGGGTTATTTTGTCACATGGTCAGCAGCCCTCAGACCGCAACTAAGCGAACTCCACAGTACCTCTTCATCAGGGGTCAGGCTGAGGCTGACCAGGAGGACTGGCTATTCTCACATATCAATCTGTTCTCACATATCAATAGTTGGATACAGCTGTTAAGCCTGCTTTCTGGAAGGTATGACAGATTCTGGGGGGAAAGGGTTTCTAGGGTAGGCAAGGCATCCTGGGTGACTTGCTAAGGGCACTGGTGGAAGGCTGGCTCTGCATTCTGGGACTGTGGCTCTGCATCCCTGGGACTGTGGCTCTGCATCCCTGGGACTGTGGCTCTGCATCCTTCGCTTGCCTCATCCCCCCATCTCTGCCTGCCCACCTCGGCAGCATTTACAGATAGCATCCTACCCTGAAGGGCTGCCATCCAACCTTGCTGTAACTCCCAGGCCCAGCTGTGCCAGCTCTAAAATAGCCTAGCCTCAGGTCTACACTGCTGTCTAGAACGTTCAGGGTGCAGTATTCCCTGAGATCACACATTTCCATATGATGCAAAGCAGGCTAATCTTCTTTCCTGTGATTCTTTTCAATGGCATAAAAAGACATACAGTCAAACTGGAACTTGAGGTTCTAGATGGGCATGTTTTATGACTGCAAGACTTACAGAAGGTTTCTTGATCCTCAGAAGCAGAGTAACAGCCAGCCCCATTCTGTTCTCTCACCCTGAGAATGTATGCTGTCACCTAGGGGTGCGGGATGAAGCACTCCTATGCAGGCTGACGCATGGGCCCTTTCTCCAGCATAACCCCCAACCCAGTGGGCTCCTAGTGGATGAGAACCAGGTTTGGATAGGCTAGAGAGAGTGGGCCTCATGGCTCTGATACAACCTTGACACGGCTGACGGCTTCTTGTGCCTGCATCATCCTGATGTTCTTGGATGGGTTTCGCTCCGACAGCAGCTGTGTGGATCCCAGGTAGTTGGCAGCAAAGATGATCCCATCTATGAGGTCCTCGGGCTCACAGGGACCTGGAACTAAAGGGGCACAGTCAGAGCTTCTTCCACCTCAGGTCCCCTGCAGCTGCACTCACAGTTGGGCACACAGGGCTCTGGAACTGGAGGGACAAAGTGAGGGCTCCTTTCACCCATGGCTGTCATGGTGGCACACCTAGCACAGCAGTGAGGAGTAGAAAAGGGCAAGGCATGCTTTGAGGACACAGAGTACAGGCAAGTCACTATATGAAGTCAAAGAAACAATCATGCAGCCAGCCTCTGAGCACCAGCCACATGCTGTAGTACTAGATGGCACCACTCTCCAAACACCACACCACCTCCCAGCTGTCCACATTCTCCAAACACCACACCACTTCCCAGCCATCCATGTTCTCCAACCACACCACCTCCCAGCCGTCCACGTTCTCCAAACACCACATCACCTCCCTACCATCCACTTTCTCCAAATACCACCCCACCTCCCAGCCTCCCACATTCTCCAAACACCACATCACCTCCCAGCCGTCCACGGCTTCCACAGCAAGTTCCAACTGTCCATGTTCTTCAAACACTACAATAAATTCCAACCACCTATATTCTCCAGACACAACAGCAAGTGTCAGCCTTCCACATTCTCCAGACACCACACTACCTCCATGCTGTCCACATTCTCCACATAGCACAATATGCCTTAGCCATCCACATTCTCTAAACACCATAGCACCTCCTAGATGACCACATTCTCCAAATACTGCGGCAATTCCCAGCCATCCAAGGGCAACTCCTGAGTCACAGTCACAGACCATCCTCTATCCTCTATTCTGCCATGTCTGTGTCCCACCACCGTCTGCTTCTTTTCTGTGGGCTCCCCACTACCTGCAGCCTCCCAGGACACCCATGTAGCCGTCCTGTCCAGGCTGTGCTGTTCTATCCTGCCTGCTTCCAACCAGCATTATGAAAATGAACTATGTGGGGATGAAATATTTCAGATCCATCCAGTTCAAGGCAGCATCCTCTAGACAGATGTGGTTTGTGAGTATTTGAAATGCAGTCAATGTGATGAAGCAACTGAGTTTTCTTAATTTTAATAATTAAAAAATAATGAGCCATGTATGCCTAATGGCTGCTGCACAGAGAAAAGCAGATGCATTTTCCAGTAAAGATCCAGCTAGTAGACACAGAAGGTGTGTGGACCACAGCGGCAGCCCCTTTCCTCTGCTGGAGCTCTGCTGTGGCAGCTCCGTGTGCCATATGTTCACATGGCTATGCTCTGCACACCTGCCTTCAGGGTGCTCTCTGGTCACAGTCAAGCCTCTGAAGAGCCTCACAGGCCCCAACACATGGCACTTGTGAATGTCACCCAAGAACACCATGTGCCAAATCCAGTAGACCTTTCACCACTGTCATTTCAACCACCGTCTCCTTCCTATGATGAGGTCTTCCTCATCTTTTGTGACATATCCCTCTCTGTCCACTCCTTCCTCTCCGGCTGCCCTCTCAGCTCCCTGATCCTGAAAGCCTGACACCCACCTAACCCAGTTCACCTCCTCTTTCCTTTTTCTCCCAGGTGAATGTCTCTCCCAGGGCTGCACTCGGGCTCAAACTCACTGCCTGATCCAACTCTGGCTCACAGTGACCCTCTACCAGGTTTCTGAGGCTGCAAATGGCAATTGGAGGAGACTGTTCATCGCCCAAGGAACTTGTGGTGGGTTTGAACTGGTGGAGACCAAAAGACTTAGAACTGTAAGCCCACACACTCAGTAGCTGCTGGTGGCTTTCGTTGGACAGTTCAGAGGCAATTCCACTTCAGAATGCCCAAAGAATATTCTTTATCTGTCCCACCTCCACTATGTGCCACCACCATCATACTCTGAGCTATACAAATATTCTCCTTTTCCTTCACTTCCACGTCCCTTTTCCTTCACAGCCCCAAGTTCTGTCCATTTGCCTATCAAGCATGTCGAGTTTGCCCACTTTTCTCAACCCACCACTACCAGATGACATTCATGCTGCCTTAGAAGGCCACTCCACATCCTGAATCCTCCCTTCTCCTTCCTCACTGGGGCTCTCATCATTCTCTCATGGAAGTGGTGCCCCAAGCCTTTTAGTTCAGCTGTGCTGGCTTTCCCTTCAATCCCCACACTCTGCTCACAGTGGTGGCTATGGAGCTCTGTGAGTGTTCTATCTCCTCAGGCCACAGGGGCTTTGTAGGAGCTGGTCTATGCCTGAGAGACTTACTTGTCTACCTCTTCTTCTTCACTTGTCATCAGAGTTCCCCTCCTTGGGTGCTTTGCCTGGACCCCAATGTAGTGCGTTCTAGCACCACAGATCCTTTCCTTGTAGCATTAGTGCCTCCTTGTGACAGTGCCCGAAGAGGAGAGACCAATGTGTCATATGCTCATGGGCACAAGCCATCAGCTCCGATGCAGGGAGGCCCCACGTACAGCAGAACGAACCCTGCTTGGTCCTGGGCTAACTTCCTGTCCTCGTGATGCTGTCCAATGCTGAAGCCACTATGTATCCTGAGCACCTTCCCGCTGAGAGGCCCATCTCCCAGCACTCCATTTGTCAATACTCTGTGTGAGCCACAAAGTCTTCACTGGCTCACACATTTCCAGAAGTTTGCCAGCCCTTTCTTCCTCCTCTATCTCAGCACAAAATTTCCACAGGAACCCACACACAGCAGATGAACCTTAAAATTAAAATTTATTATTTATTTTTTATTATATTTATTTATTATATTTATTATTTATTGGCACTTAAAATTAGCCACCTGTTTTTAGAAACAAAAATATTTTCCTGCGTGTATACAGAATTGCTGCTCAGAATAAAATCTTTATTTTTGGTTAGCAGCACAACACAGTACAGACAACACCACCAGAGCACTTCCCTGCACTTTATTTGTAACAAGAGGATGCACTCTCCTCTCAGAATCTCACTTATCCCCAATCACCTCTCACTCAATGCCACTGAGGTAGAGCTGACTCACAGTTGAGCCTCCAGCAGGGTCAGAGGCTGTAAGTCACATGGCAGGAAACCAGACTGCTGGTAAAATGAAGTCCAGAGTCTTCCCCAGCCTCAACTTTGTCATCTGGGTCTAGAGGAGTAGAGAGTGCAAATGGCAAGAGTTTCCAGGAAATGTGTCCTAGAGCTGAGCAAGGGCCCTTCTGCAGAGGCTTTTGGGGGTGAGCAAGAAGCAAGGCCCCTTTCCCTGCAATTACCATACAGGGCCAGCACGTGGTCTTCACGGAGCAGTGCCATGCCACCTGACCTTCTAGCGGCCATCCCTGCTCGGTGCCCTGGCCTCCTCCACAGGGTGGCTGGCAGCACCCTGATGTGTAAAGAAAATACCCAGGGTCTGTGACACCTGTTCTGTACAGTATACAGCTGAGAGTGTGAGGGAATGAGTGTTCCCAATGCGGGGTGGGCTCAGCACGGTTCAGCCCATCATGCCACTCTTACATACAGAGGAGATTTGGGGGGAAAAGGCCAGAACCCAAGAACACTGCTGGGAAGCGCAGACAAGGATAATAATCTTTCCAAGTACCATGTAGTTCTGCAAACCTAGACTCCCCTCCATGGGACTCTGAGGTGAGTGCAGCTTGTGAAAGGCATTGTCCCCATTATGAGTTAGGAAGTACGCCTCAGAGACCAGCTTGTGCCCCCAGAGCTGAGATAGTAAGGGACCAGACAGGAACATGTCCTTCTGCTTCTGCTAAGAATGCAACACAAAGCACAAACAATTGCTGGACAGCTCCCAGGAGGCACAAAGACTCAGTGACCATCTGGATCTGTGGGGCCGGGCCTTGAAGCAATGACCTCTGACAAGGTGTGCTGTGGGGTCTCCACTAACAAGCTGTCACCCTACATCCATCCCCCTGAAAGGTAACATGGAGCTGGTCAGGATCCCAAAACAGGTTGGGATTGGCTCCATGACTCCAGGCAGCAGCCCCAGCTGTGCCCACAGGCTTGTCACTGTAAAGCCTGTCACTCAGATTTTTCTCTCCGCCAACAAGGAGACGCTCCCACTTGTTTACCTCCTTCCTGCTCTTGCAAAGACAGATGGATGCTCTAAATTTTGTAGCTATTAAAGGCACACACAATATATGAGTTCCACATGACCTCTGAATTCCTGTCTTATATGTCCACATCTAATAGCAAAGTCCAGCTGTTCCAATGGAATAGGCTCAGCTGGCACAGATGTTGGCAGCAGCAGGGTGACTCCCATCAGGCTGGGGCATGGAGGACATGGGTGCAAAAGCGCAAGGACAGTCTAAGTGTAAGCTTCAAGTGGCTGCCCCTGCACCCCCAAGGCCAGCTTTCTGCATGTAAAACCATTCTCTTACAGGGGGTTGGGGCTTGACCTGCTGAGTTCACTGCTCTAGATGCTTCCTATACCAAGTGAAGGGGAGAAGGCTCAAATGACCCCTCCAGCATTCCAGGCTGCCACTATGCCACATCAAGGGCCTTAGTCTTGCACTCTGAAGACAAGATGGCCCCTCCAGCCAGCCTACTCAGTGCTCCATGGGCAGCTCAGTTGGACTGGATGCCAATCAGACCTGTAGTCACTTAGAGGGAATGAGGGCAATCAACTCAGAAAGGCCAGAAGCCCCTACTTCTAGGGCCTCTAATAAGTACTTCCATTTTTATTCTCTCTGGGGCTTTGATCTCCCAGTGACTATGGTTCAGTGGCCTCTGGCATGCCAAGGGTCACCCTGCAAGGGGCCACTCTGAGGAATACTGACCAGGAGAGGTTGACACTTTGTTCTGTGGGTCATCTCAGTAGCCCTTGGGAGCAGGGTCTGGCATCTTCAGTGCCATTCATCTGCAGGGTGGGCATCATTCCCTCTTGGACACCATCCTGACCATCTGAGGCTGTGCCTTTGACTACTTCCTCACCATTTCTCCCTTGGTTATATGACCTTCCTAAAGTTCACAGCTCTGTTTCAGTCCATGCCTGAGTAGATCTGTGAAGTACTGGGTGTCAGCCCCCACTGCCAAGAGGCCCAGGAGGAACTGACTGGCACTTCTGCTTGCTCACT